GCAAATGCATGACTTGATATTCAGGATCGAATAATTATGGTATTTTTTCTGAGAATTTATTCGCTTCGCGATGATAATAGTATAAATATTATAATAAAATAACTAGAAAAATTTTAAAAAATTAATAAAAACGACCCTAATTGTTATATTATTTTCTATAAATATTTGATAACATATTATAAATTTTTATATCATATTAAATTAATAATTTGCTCTAATTTGAAAATATAAAAAGAAAAAAATTATAAACGGGGTTATTAAAAAAAAAATCTCTCGTTAATGATTTGCTACAGAGTTAACAATTTATTACATAATAGCATGATAAATATCTAAAAAGATACAATTTTTGTTGTGTCGTATAATTTTGTATAATATACATCGAAATGTTTGAGCAATCGTGTATAATACAATAAACGATTAATGAATTTCAATACGCTTGATTCGAATCTTATATTATATAATTCCAGTCTGAAAAATTGAAATAAAAATTCCTATGATTTTTATAACATATTATTTATTAAAATTAGTATACATTATTGCGATGAAATAAAATAAAAAATTTAATACGAAATAATAGTTTTTTAAAAATAATTAAAAATTGTATTACAATTTTCATTAATATAAAAATTTTTATTATAATCGTATAAAATTAGACAAAAACACAGATTGGAATCAAGTTGTACAATTTTACGAATCACTTCAACGCGTATTTTATGAATAAACAATAAAGAAGTTCTACATAAATGGTCGATACATTATATTCATATTATGTCTAAGCGTGCAACATGCATCAAAATTTCATCTGTAACATTTATATAAACATATATGCGAGGTCTTTAATTAAAAACGCAGTTCATCATTGTTATCATTTAATTATTTTTTCCTTTAAAAATGATAAATTACAATTTTCCATGAAACACATTATTTTTGTTATTTTTGTGAAGAGCATATGAAACAATTATTATATTATATATTTCAAATAAAATTAAAAATAAAAATAAAATATAGGAAAATAAATTTTTCTTCAATAGCCAGAAACGGACAATATTAAATAATAAAATAAAAAAGAATGTTTTTACTTAAAAAGACAAATGAATAATAGAAAATTACTACGTTTTTAATTAATTTTTTCTTATACAATTACAATATTTTTTGTTTCTTTTCTCTTGCATAGTTACGATTAAGATGGAATCAAGTTTAACAAAAGTTTAGCGATTTCTTTTTCTGTTAGAAATATCACGAGTAAAAAGATGAATTAGACTTTTGAAAATCGTGAAAATATGATATGTACTCTATATAGAAAAGCAGATGCTCTGAAATCTGCATTCAATTACATCGAAATAAAATGATATACACATGTATATAATATTTAATTCTAATTGACCAAAGTACTTTTGGCACGTTTCAAATGTGTTCCAGACCATTTTTCTCTTCACTTACCTTCTATTATTCTAAAAAACGAGTTTTAACGATTATTAGACTACTTATCATAAAAATCAAAGTCACATGTATATATTTTAAAAAATAAAATTTCATTATTAAACTCATAATTATGGTAAAAAGATAAAATTTTTATAAAAAATATTTTATTCCAATTAAGATCTATTGCATTAATATTTTCAATATTATATGATACGTTTTATATTATTTTTCTAAAATAAAAAATATCAAAATATGTATTTATTTTTTTTATAAATTATGAATAAAAAAAATTGTTTTTTCTTTTATAAATGAAATGATTGATTCGAAATACAATTATGTGTCTATGATAAAAAAAAAATTCTCCATCATTAATATTTTGACGATTTCAATTATATAAAAAAAATTCACAGATCAATACACCATTGTGACCTGTGAAAATAATTAAACTTATTTTTATATTGTAGCACGCTGTATAACAATAAAATAAAATAAAATAAAATAAAACAAACAAACAAACACGTGACTATGATTGATATTACTACATGTATTGTATATTATATGTATTGTATGCATCGATATAGTTTCGATATTGACAGATCTAATTGCTTAGATAAAGGCTAGAGGTCAATCTAGAAGTTAATTTATATTTTCAGTTAATACTCTGTGTCTTTAATTGAAGCCGGATACACGATTGATTAACTGAAATATAAATAAACCCTGATAAACGTGCGAGTCACTGAGTATCACAAATATTCTTTTTTTCTTTCTGAACTATTAGTATTGACTTAGAGGAGTTTCTCGTAAATTACGTTTAAATAGATAATCGACTTGCATTAAGTTTGAAGAGAATTACTATTTTATGTGAACAATTAATAATTTTATGGTCATGAAACTCAGTTACTCCATTCAAGAAAATGCCATGCAAACACAGATTTTTCTGTTTTTTTTTTTTTTTTTTTTTTTTTTTTTATATCTGTTTTGTGAAACATGGAATAGGAGAGAAATAAAAAGAAAAGACAGATACAAGATAAATATTTGAAATATATTCATAATGTTAACTTGAAAATGTAATCGCTAATACAAATCTATAATCAATTTATACAAATTTGAAATTATAAAAAAGATTAAAACATTTTCTTGAAATGCACGTAATTGACCAATCAAGATGTATGAAAGTATGCTATTTATTAAATAACAGACTTTTCTCTTTAACTCCAACATAGCTCACTGAATGCACATCTGTGTCTTAAGGCAATTTTAATTTTTCATACCCTAATATATGCAACAATTGGTTTTGAACCTTCCTATCTTTATCCTTTTGTGTCATAAAATATGCTCGCAATTTTTTCTATTCTATACATATTATATATATACAATAAAATTTATATATTAAAAACAAAAATTTATAAACCATAACAATGTTATATGTAAGTCAATCTTTAAAATGCTAATTTCAGCAGAAAATTTTTTTATTGATTATAAGAAATAGTTTTCAATTATATATATTATGAATATAGGAATAGCCAAGATTATTGTTACAGAAGAAATAGCTAACTACAGAATAATTATAGTGAATATAGTTATATATTATTCACATATTTTTAGATAAAAAGTATAACTTTGTTACAATTTACTTATATCTTTTGTTTTTATATAAGAGCATATTATCATGATCATTTTGATTGATTGATGATTAATTGATAAAATTTGATTACACATCATAATAATATATAAAAAAATTAAAATTCTTTATCAATTATATAAATTTTAATAAGAATTATATACATTGTCTTTTAAAAGATAATAATAAAAATTTAACTAAATATAAATTTGTTTTTAAACATGCTGTCACTCAATATATAAATATTATAAATATGTATATTATTCTTCTATATCTTAATAGGTATAAATAAAATTTGGCACTGTAATTATAAATTCTACATGGATAAAAAGTTAAGAATATTTTTTAATTTTGATTTTTCAAATATTACAGTAATTTTAATTATTTAAACTTTAAATTTCTATATATCTATAATTCTATATATTTAAATCAAATTTAATATAAGTGTGTCTAATCATATAATTAACACATCTTATATAAAAATGAAAATGATATTTTTAAATCTTACTTATTTTTCATGGATATACAAGCACATAGATTGGCCCCCAATAATACACTTACAGAGAAAGTTAAATAAATTATTTGTCTGCAATATCTATTGATCCCATGCTATTCATAAATTAAACAATAAAATTGAATAATAAATTATTATATTAATAATAAATCAATCATAATTATGATATTTTCTAATTAATTATATTAGATATATACACAAAGATATTAAAATATAAAAAAAATTTTAATATATTTTACATAACATAATCTTTCATAAATGTTTATGATCAGACACAAATAGTATTTGGAAGATAATATTGGCTGTTTTTATATTACAAAAAATTTTATATATAAAAATTGCAACTATATTTTTTTAGTATTATTAAATTTATATATGTTTGTTAAACAAATATTTTTTTATAATTATTATTATATCATGAAGTAAATAAAATGATTATATTTATTATAAATATTTGTAATAATTATATGTTAATATTGATAATTATCAACATATTCATAATAATATATCAGATATTAAATTTTTTAAATAATATGCAATATTCTAACATAACATTCTTTTGATGTTATTCTAATAATTTTTGATTTAAAACATTATTAATAATTTTATAATAAAAAATTATAAATCAAGTATAATTTAAAAAATATATTTAAATATAAATAAAAATTTTAATCTTATTTCAATTGTAGATTTTTATTTTGTCCTACTATTTTATTGCGTAATAAGTTAAAATGTCCATGCACTTGAGATAATTGTGCTTTAAGGGAATCTGAAAGTTGCTTTTGTAATTGTTGAACCTCCAATATTTCTTGCCGAAGGTTCTGATAATCTTTTGTAACTTGATGAACAGATCGTAATAGACGAAGCACAGAAATCTGTTAAAAGCATAAAAAAGAATAAAAATAAAAATAGCAATTTAAATTTTAAATTTGATACCCTTTAAGCAAATAAGTTGAATTATAATTTTTTCTAACTAAATTTTTTTCTATTAATTTAACAATTGACATTTAAAGAAAAATATAATTTTTTATACTAACTATGAATTTTTAAATAAATTTTATTTAACGAACAATTAACAAAAAGTATATAATTCATATTTTCTTAAACAAAACATACCTCACTACCAGGATCTTCAAATTCTTTTTCAAAAGCATCAATTTGCCATGCAATCATGTCTAGTTTTCCATCAGCTTTTTGCACCTATAACATTTAATTTATAAAATATTAATTTATTTTTCATAATAAAAAAATAGCATTTAGCATTTGATATTCGTTTGAATTTAATACAAATTCAATAATTATTGAAAAACATAAATAACATTCAAAATGAACAATCCGAAAATGAATAAAAACTAGTAAAAATACTTACGCTTTGTTCAAGATGAACAATAGCAGATTCCATGTTATCTATTATTTATAACAGATTATTTTAAACAAAGAAGACGTAACTCACAAACTGCTCGTGCGAAGTCGTTGGTTAACTTTCTTGTACTAGAATCGATATGCTCTCACTGGCATATTTGAAAAGTGGAGAACGACAGTTATAGTTTATATTTAAATATTTTATCGCTTGGTGGCAGCACTTACTACGTAATTTGTGCATTATTTGAAATTACATACTGTTTTATCAATTGTTATTAACTTTTGAAGAATGGAATACATCTTTTGAATAAATTATAATCATATATAAAATACTACATTTTAAATATAATCATATTCATATTATTAAACTGATTGTGAAATAACTAATTGAAATAGTGATTTCAAATTATCGCATATATTTTTTCAATTATAAAATTATTTTTATTAAATGAGAATTAAAAATAAATTTTATTTTGTTATTTTTTAAAAATCATATCTTTTTAAAAATCAAAAAAAATACTATAATGCATATTACTTGTAATTTATTTTTCATTTTATCAGATTTTTACTCATAATTTATTTTGAATACTCATGTTATAATATAGCAAAGTATATTATTTTTTAAAGATTATCATTTTAGATATATTAATAGCTTAAAATATAATATTTGTATTTTTTACATTACAAATTAAAATACATTGTAGTTTTAAAAGAAAAATAATAAATATGTTATTCAATTGACATTCTGTATTTCTCTGATCATGCGAATAAGACAACAAAAACAAATAATAAGGAAAAAGGGAAATAGGATAAAAATTGCGATACTACCGCCATCTTCATACTATAAATGAAACATAACAACAAAAAGATAGAAATAGTATAAGAATTGACTGTCAATACCATTTAAATGTCAATAATATTTCTTCAAAAACAGAATAAGAAAATATAAGAATTGAAGATCAGCACCATCTCTTGAATTAAAAAATATTTCTTTAAAAGCATTCAAGAGATGAAACTTATTTTTAATTATATTTAATTTATTTAAAAGTAATTAAAAGTTATTCTAAATTAATCTTTTCATATTTCAAATAAAACTTACAATTTAAGTTTAAAAAAATAATAATTTATCAATAAAATGAATTTGAGAATCACTGATGGTATATCTATATATTCACTTACGCATAGAATGCCATCTAGTATAACATATCTTTAGATCTTACGTGTCTACGAATGTCACTTTGTCGGAATAACTAACCAGACTTTAAAAACTTAAAAAAAAAAATACATTTAGTGTGTGCTGTGCTACGAAATGGCAAGTCAGAATTACTTAAGTGATCCAAAAAATCCATTTTTTTCTCTTGAAGATGACATTGATGATGAAACGTTTCTTAAAAGTGCACCATCGAGATCTTCTGCTCGTATGACTTACAATCATTATAATAATTCTGACAACGAATTCGAACAAAAGCGTCAACAATTATTTCAACGAAAAAAAGAAATAGAAGAACGTACAATACAATCAACGGAAAGATCTATTTCTTTATTAAGAGATTCTGAACAAATTGGAGCTGCTACTGCAGAGGTAACTGCAAAAATTTAACATAATTTAATTGTAATATAACTAATAATTATAATAAATATTTTATACATGTATATATTTCTATAATATATGATTATTATTATTTTAAATATCTTTCTTAAAATATATCATATAGTTTTATATCTATATTTTTATATATTTGTTCTTATTGAAAATAAAGTATCATATAACATATTTATATGATACCTATTTAGATTAGAATATATTTAAAAAATTAATTTTTTATATATTATATATCTTTTTATATTTTACATGCATATTTTGCATGCATTTAAATATATTTTTTTAGTACATTTTTTTTTTAATGATTTTTAATTTATATTTATTAGTATTAATGGTTTTATTTTAGGAACTCATTAGACAGAGAGAACAATTGGAAAGAACGGAAAAAAGACTAGATGATATCAATAGTACATTAAGGTTTAGTCAGAAACATATCCAAGGAATAAAAAGTGTATTTGGAAGTCTTAAAAATTATCTCAGTGGTAAATCAATGGATGCACCAATACCATCAACAATATTATCAGAATCTTCCAGCTCAGAATCTATGGCATCTCCTGCTTTATCTAATTCTTTAGAACAAGTACAGACTAATATAATTAATACAAGTTCAGCATTAAAATTACGTGGTATAGATGATGCAGAGAATACAAATCGTTTAAGTAATAATGTAAACAAAATATTAGAAAAAAATTTAGATGAAATGAGTGGTTCATTAGCTAGATTGAAAGGTTTAGCAATAGGATTATCAGAAGAAATAGATTTACAAAATGATTTGATTGATAATATAACAGATAAAGCAGAAAAGACAGATATTATGCTTCAGAAACAAAATAAAGATCTTACTCATTTGTTGAAAAAATAAATAACAATACAAGAAAGAAAATAAAATAAATATGTTTAGTATATTAAATTTCATATATTTCAAAGCTGTAAATGAATGCATAATAAATATTGCCTTATTTAGTCAAATTTGAAAAAATTTTATACATATTATGTATATTATAAAATTATTTTATATTTTGCAAAATATGAGTTATAATTATATAAAATCTCATATAGTATAACATAAAAAAACAACTCACTTTCATATATTTCAACTATTAGTCTTATTTTTATGTATTATGTATATGGTATAATAATTTAAATTTAAAATTAAATATATTATATATATTTTTTCTTTCTTTTCAGCAAATCAAATTACCTTTAACATTCCTGTTAAAATTATTAAGCTAAAATTTTTGTAAATTTTATATTAAGATTTAAATCATCTTTTTATTATGTTTTGTATTTTATATTTTAACTAATGAACTAAATACTAAAAAAAAAAAAATACTGTGATAAAAAATCATTGTAACGTAATAATTGATATTACGTTATTAATTAATATTTTATATTTAATAACAATTTAACATTGTTAGTAAATTTTACTAAAATTATTGTGAAAGTGAACATTGTTATTGGAAACATTATGTAAAACATTGATAAATATATTATATATGAATTAAATAGATTAATAATAAATATTAAAAATTATGAGAATATTTAAATTGTAGAAAATAAATTTAAAAATATAATTCTAAAAACAATGTTCTATATATTTATTAAAAATTGCATCAATATCACATTATAATATATTTATGTTATTTATAAGATAATTTACAATAAAATTGCACATAGGTATAATCTTGTATATAAATAAATATAACAATACTTATATATTATAAAATCTAGTAATCTAAAAGAAATTTTTTCTTAAAATAATTAGTTATAATGAAAATGTACAAATATTTATACAAATTATTATTTGTGCATATCTACTTTTTATTCTTTTTATTAATAAACATCAAATTCAAATACAAATATTGAAAATAATATAAGAAAGAAGATAGACTATGAGTTTTCAATAAAATTCACTTAAGCATTAATTTCACTTTAATATTATTTTATACATAATGTATAATATATCTATATATAATATAATATATAATATATCTATATATGTATGGCAAATTACTTGTGTAAGGAAATATTCATAATTCATAAGTAAAATATAAATTTCACTGCCAATGTTATTGAGAAAATTAAAAAATGAAATGTATTATGCTCATGAGATCTTATTTAAATTATATTTTAAACTTTATATGTTTAATATAATATTAATAATGATGTATTATTGCATATGTGTATGAATGTATAAATTTATCATATTTATATATATGTATACTTATCTTTAGTTATTTTTTCTTTCCTTTAAAAATGTTATCTTAATAGAAATTTTCTTACAATATTAAATCTTTTATATTTTTATATATTTTAATAAAATAAAAGAAAATTATTATATATATATATAAAATAATAATAATGAAAAAAAGGATTATTTAGATATACAAGTAATAAAATAATGTTCTTCAGTAAATCACTTTATGGAAAAGAAAATAGAAAAAATATAATATTTATAAATTCAAACTTTTTTTTTATTAAAATATTAAAAACATAATAATAATGTGTAAATAATTTTTTTTATTTATTTTTTTTGCACAAAAATAATTGCTCTACAATATTTTATTAATTTTATATTTATTATATAATTTTATTTTCATTTTATATTTTTCCATTCTTATTGGTTTGTCTGCATTAAGATTCTTTATTTTATCCAGCTGTAAAGCAATTCAATAAATTTAATGATATTATATAAATTTCTAAAAAAAAATATTTTAAACTAAAATATTTAAAAATATGTATATGTAATTATTTATAATGTTCAAATTTAATTTGTATATAAATTTCAAATTAATACATTTACATAGGATATCAGATCAATTGCATTTGCAGAAATAAGAATTAAATATTTGTGAAAATTTTTAAATTTATTAATTTAAAAATATTTGTCTTTATATAAATTTTTTCACTCATTACCGTTTGTGCTATTAGTACTATTAGTTCTTCCATTGTTGCCATTTCCGTTATTAAACCATCGACAACCAGCTTTTCCTTCATGATGGTGCATGGTAGATGGTATATTTATAGAAATCACTGACGCCTATCAATAAAAAAAATATATATTGAAATAATATCAAAAAAAATTAATTTTTTAAAAAATATGATTTTATTTAAAAAAAATTTGAAATTATCACAAATATCGATTTAAATTACCTTATAAATATAACATTCAAAAGTGTTTATTTATATCACGGAACTATATAATTTAAAAGTATGCAAAATTAATAACAAAAGAAATAAGAATAAAGAATATTATTTGTAATAAAAATTATAAAATTTAAATTATTATTATAAAATAATATATCATTTCATAATGCACAGCATAATTAGCGATAATGGAACGCTTTTTTTATTCAGATAAATTATTTTAGAAACTAGATAAAAATTGCAAGATTGTAACAACATAAATTTATCATAATTATATAATAGTTATATAAAAATATTATTAATTTTTATGTGCATATTTTTGCTTATAATATTAACTATTATCTAATCTTAATTATTAATGATATAGATTTATATATTCAAACTAGTATACTGATAACAAAATTTAAAAAATGATAAATAAAATAAATTTTAAAATAAATAATGATAAATTATAAACAAATAGATTTGAACTTGAATGTGTAATAAATAATATGAAAATGTTATTAAAATCTTACCGCGATGCAAAGTAATATAAAAAAAAATAAATGTATTTTATACAATTTCATCTTGAGATATAGAAATTGAAACGAAACTGTCACAATATGAATACCTGCATATTTATACTAGTTACATAGTACAATTATGATGTTTATCTTTCAGAAAACGTTTCCTGTAATCTTCTATAATAATTATATATTTTTATCTTTGTTTTGTGTTAATATTACTTTTCTGTAATACTTAAAAATCATTTTATTCAGTTATTGTAGAATTCAATTGCAGTAAAAAATAAAGTGTGATCTTAACTATTTTCAAATCTTATTGTAACAGAAAAAGATGATATAAAAAATATTAAATGAAAAAAATATTAAAAATTTGATTTACAAATAAATTATTTGTTTTTGTGTAATTTAATTTATTATTTATATTATTTATTATTATTTATTAATTTATTATTTATATTATATATAAATAAATACATTTTATATATACATATTATTCTATTTATTATATATCCCAAATTAAAAAATGATTCCTTTATAACTAATATAATTAATTGTCTATAATTAATTAAATTATAAGTATATAATTACAAAATATTTTCAATTGCAAATTAATAAAAAGAAACATACGATATATTTTATTTTTATTAATATTCTTTATTTTCAAAAATAATATAATGGAAATAAATTTAATTATAAAAAAACTGAAAAATAAATGTAAAATTTATCATATCATCAAATACTTGATTACAAAATATTGATTACATAAAATAAATATACATAAGAATAAATATAGAATAAATAGAATCCTCGATAAATAATTCAAAGAATACAATATATAACTATATTGTATAAGTAAAATGTAATAATTTTAATGAATATTAATATTTTGAATTATAAAATAAAATCTATAATGAATATAATAATTAAATTAATATAATTATATATTGCATTTCATTTATTCAATAATTTTATATTAATAAAATTAATAATATAAATTGTATGAAAAAGATTGAAAGAAAAATTGAATTGTTTCAAAAATAAAAATATAATCGATACTCATAATAAATTATATCGATATTAAAATCGAGATATCATAACTAAAAGTCGATAATCGATACGAAAATGAAGCTTTAGAATTTCTGGTAAGTTCTATGAAATTGATTACTTTAAACGAACTGCAAGACCAGTTAGTTTCTGGAATCATCTGCCTGGAACGTGTTTTCAGTATTACGTAAAGTGTTATTGAATTACAAAAATATTATTTAAAGATTTAAAATAAGTAAGTATTCTTGCAATATATATTATTTAATTTTATATATATACTTTCATTTCTTTTTGCTGAATAAACATATTTATGTACATATTATTTTTCGTTAGTTCCATTAACGTCATTTATTTTTATTAAGAATTATAAAGACATTGTATGATATAAATTAATTTTTAATTTATTACTTTTTATAATATTATGTTTTTAAAAAATTTTCTTTTAATATCATTGTTTATGTCATATATCATTATTTTGCGGTTTTTAAATAGAATCAAATTTATCATTTTTAATAATATAAAATATTAAATATAAATAGATATAATATTTATTCAATTCTTTTTTTAATTTAGAATGGCTGCAATTGATATATCTCCTAATAAGGATGGAGGTGTTATGAAAGAAATAATCAAGGAAGGTATTGGAGATGAAATTCCATCTTCTGGAAGCAATGTAACAGTCCATTATACTGGTACCTTATTGGATGGAACAAAGTTTGATTCAAGCAAAGATCGTAATGAACCATTTCAATTTGAACTTAAAAAAGGATCAGTTATCAAAGCATGGGATATAGGAGTAGCAACTATGAAAAAAGGTGAAATTGCATTATTGACTTGTGCTCCTGAATATGCATATGGAAAAAATGGTAGTCCACCTAAAATTCCTCCAAATGCAACACTTAAATTTGAAGTAAGTTATTAAACATTAATTTTAACTACATAAAAATATTATTCTTTATTAATAATATATTTTAGATTTCATTTCATTAAAAATTCAATGTTATGAAATGTATATATTTCAATGTTATATATTTTTCTTTATTAGATCGAAATGATTAGTTGGAAAGGAGAAGATTTAAGTCCTGAGAAGAATGGAAGTATTGAGAGGCATCAAATTATACAAGGAAAAGATTATATCACTCCACAAGAAGGAGCTTTAGTAAATGGTAAATATAATTTTGTAATATTTTCATTTTATGAAAATTTAAATAACATTTTGTATTTTTGTATTTTATAACATAAAAATTTGTATTTCAAATTTATTGCTTTTTAGTACATTTAATGGGAATGTACAATGGGAAAGTATTTGAAGATAGAGATGTACAATTCAACCTCGGAGAAGGAGAAGATTGTGGTGTTATAGAGGGTATTGAAAAAGCTTTAGAAAGCTTTAAAAGTGGAGAAAAATCAAAACTTATAATTAAAAGCAAATATGCATTTAAGAACATAGGAAAACCTGAATTTGACATTCCACCAAATGCAACTGTAGAATATATAGTAGAATTAAAAAACTTTGAAAAAGTAATTATTTTATTGTGACATGTAAAATAATAATTTTTTTAATTAATGTATGTTGCGTTTCAGATATTATTTTTTAATTAATGTATGTTTCAGGTAGAAGTTTGGTCCTTGAAAAATCATGAACAGATAGACTTAGCTAAGATGTACAAAGAGAAAGGGACAAATTATTTCAAAGCAAATAAATACAACTTAGCAATTAAAATGTATAAAAAAATTACTTCAGTTTTAGAATATGGAGAAGACTTTGAAGGAGATCTGAAAATAGAAAGAAATAATCTTATTTTATCAGCACATTTAAATTTGGCATTATGTTATTTAAAATTAGATCATAATGTTGAAGCAAAAGATTCATGTAATGAAGCTTTGAAGTTAAGTCCACAAAATGAAAAAGCACTTTTTAGAAGAGGACAAGCATATCTTGCATTAGCATCACCTGAAATTGCAATTAAAGATTTTCAAGAGGTTTTGAAAGTAGAACCAAAAAATACAGCAGCTGTGAAACAAATTGGAGTTTGCAATAATCTCATTAAAAAGCAATTAGCAAAAGAGAAAAAGCTATATGCAAATATGTTTGATAAATTTGCACAAGAAGATAAACAGGTTTGTGAAAAACAATAATAATCTTATGTAATATATGTATTATGTAGGATTGCAATTATTTATTCATTACTTATATGTATGATTTTAATTATTAATAGCATGTCCTTTATAATTATAATATTATAATTCATAATAAAAAAAATAATAATGTTGATTAAATTTACATCATATAAAATATATGAAATAAATTTCTAAATTATATTGATGTGATATGTTTGACCATAAATTGTTAGTAATGTCACAGAAGGAAGAGGAGAAATTGCGAGAACAACCAGATGTGATGTGTGGGGCCTTGGGTGAATGGGGTCAAGAAGAACGACCTGGAGGTAGAGATGCAACTGCCTTTGAAAAGGAAAATCCTAATATACTTATGCTCAATGCTAATGGTACTGATGAATTTCAAAATATGTAAAATATTGATCATCCTCTATCCCGTTCCTTACACTGCCTCATTTTTAACTGCCAGTATGAAATTTTGTTAATTATTCTAATGGGTTTCTAATGTGTTTCAAATATGTCTACATATACAAAGATGCATATTATATAGTTAATTAATATTCTGTAATATTATGCATCCTAGTCAAAAAAATTACCATTTTGCATAACAAAATCAGAACTTAAAAAAATAAAACTTTCTTGCTTGAAATCTTTTTCATTTTTTATATAAATTCAAACTGTACAAACAAGAATTATAATTTAATAGATATTCATTTTGCAATTCTAATAATTCTAATTGGTGTTCTGTCACCAATTTATTCTATCAAAATTATATTTAAAATTATATATACTTAGCAATATATATTTTTCATTTCATAAAATTGTAAATGCAGTATGATAAAACTAAATAATATATAATTCTTGAACAATTATTTGTACAAATTACTTTATTGCTATTTTTATAAGAAATTTTGTAAATTATTATTATAATATGTTAAGGTAAGTAATATTTTATTAATATTATTATATTTATTTATTTAATTAATATTTAATAACAAAACTATTTTTCTTATCCTAAAAATTCTAAATAAAAAGTAATATGTTAATAAATATGTAATATGAAAATTTTTAAAAAATTTCTAAAAATTGTATAAAAATATGTTCATTTTTAAAAATTATTATTTTAGTAACATTATATATATTATTTTAAATATGTCAATTCCATATTTCTTCATTTTCAAAACTTTAAAATTAAAAAATAACATATATAGCTTCTTACAAAAATTTTCGCTTAGCAACAATCGTATTGAATCACAATAAGAAGACAATTGAGATAAATTGAGACAAGATAATCAACTATTAATTGAACTCCGTCTGTCTTGATTACAATATAATTTTTTATTTGTAAAGCGTAATTCATAATTGAAAGATATAAATATATTGATATATATCAAATAAATTTGTATAGAAATTTAAAATTCATGATAAATAATTTTTAAAATAATTATTAATCTACAAAATAAATATTAAATATTTGTTAAATTATTGGTTATTTACAGAGTTTAATAAATACCATAATATATCTTGCAATCTTATTGGTGATTTTTATACATTATTTGATACCTTAACCAATGATATGTTTTAATGTGCATTACTAACACAAATTCACATGACTATTAAAAATAAGCGATCGCCGCGAAACTACTCATATAATCCTTATTCTTCGATAAAAGTGGATCTAAGCCGTCTACTAAAAGTGAATGAAAAATTAATTGTCTTTTAAAATGCCTAATATTATAAATGATATTAAATTAGATTTTAAAGATGTTTTATTACGTCCAAAAAGAAGTACATTAAAAAGTAGATCCGATGTAAGTAATATTTATATAAAGTTTATAAAGATTTATAGTCTATATTTTTGTTTCATCTCTTTTTTTATAAAATTTAATTATGTTTCATACATAATTAACATAAAACAATAAAAAAATATATTTTTAATAAATTTTACTTGTAAAATAATAATTTTTTTCCCTATATTTATATAAAAGAAATATTGAGGACAAAATATATTTTTTAATATGAACATAAGAATCTTATTTTTCTTATTTTTTAAAATTATTTTATATTAAAAACTTCTTATTTAATAGATAACAATATAACATATTTATAAAAAATACATTTATAATTTACTAATTAATCACATATACATTTATATATATTACATTCTTTATAAACATTGATTTAGAAACTTTTTTATTTAATATTAATGATAAAAATATGCTAAATTTTAGGTCGATTTATTTACGGAAATCACATTTCGTAATTCAAAACAAATTTACAAGGGAGTACCAATAATTGCTTCAAATATGGATACAGTAGGAACATTTGAAATGGCTAAAGCTTTAGCAAAGGTATATATTTATATATTTATTTCAATTTTATTATAATAAAAATTAATATTTATAATAAAATTATATATAATGATATATATAAAAAAATATTATAAATTATAAATGAATAAATAATTCAAATAACTAAAAAATATTAATTGTCATATCAAATTATTATATTTTAGTATGGTCTTTTTACTACTATTCATAAATATTATTCAGTAGAAGAATGGAAAAATTTTGCTACTGAAAATCCTAAAGACCTTAAATATGTAGCTGCTAGTTCTGGTACAGGAAAGGAAGACTTTGAACGATTATCAAATGTTCTAACATCTGTACCAGAATTATCTTTTATCTGTTTAGATGTTGCTAATGGTTATTCTCAACATTTTGTTGAATATGTTAGAAAAGTGAGAGCAGAGTTTCCTAATCATACAATTATTGTAAGTAATTATATTATCATATTATAATTTTTTAAAAGAGAAAATAACAAAAATATTACTTCTTGAATTACTATCTTTAATATTAATCTTTAATTATTTAAAAATACTTTCTGTATTTAAAAGTAAAAATTATTACTATTACAGGCAGGGAATGTAGTTACTGGTGAAATGGTAGAAGAGTTAATATTATCTGGAGCAGATATAATAAAAGTTGGAATTGGTCCTGGATCTGTATGCACTACACGAATGAAAACTGGTGTAGGATATCCACAATTAAGTGCTGTAATTGAATGTGCAGATGCAGCTCATGGTTTAAAAGGACACATTATTTCAGTAAATAATAATATATTATTTTTGTACATATATTAATCTTATTTTTTATTTAAATTGTATATAATTTATTAAAAAATATATTTTGTTGTAGGATGGTGGTTGTACTTGTCCAGGTGATATAGCAAAAGCTTTTGGTGCTGGAGCAGATTTTGTAATGGCAGGTGGTATGTTTGCTGGTCATGAGGAATGTGGAGGTGATACTATAGAAAAAAATGGAAAAAAATACAAGCTTTTTTATGGTATGGCTTCAAGTACAGCAATGAAGAAGCATGCTGGTGTTGCTGAATATAGGTTAATAAACAACACAAATAATATAAATAAGATTATATTTTGAAAAGTGAATTATATACTCTTGATTTTTTTACATTTTCTCTTTTGAATTCTTTTAGATCATCAGAAGGCAAAACTGTGGAAGTGCCTTACAAAGGTCTAGTAGAAAGTACTGTATTGGATATATTGGGTGGTTTGCGATCAGCATGCACATACACAGGAGCTGAACGATTACGTGAACTACCACGACGTGCTACATTTATACGTTGTACACAACAATTAAATCCAATGTATGGTCCACCACCAGAAATCTGAAGTTATTCAAATTAATTTATTGTAGTACACATTTAGGATAACTATTATTATTGAGTCAATTAACAAATGCTATTATTTGCTGGCAAATAATGTTTATATAAAAATTCAAAAGCTTCAATTAATGTAAGTGTACATACGTTTTAATGGCAATTTTAAATTGCATTGAATTGAGTGAGTTTGAAAGATATAACGCTTAATGGCACAAATATGTACCTTCTTTATATATATATAATATATATAAATATATGTATATGTGTATATGTATGTGTATATATATATATATATATATATATACACATATATTTTTTATGAATATTTCATTCTTAATTATATATTTACATACGCATATATTATTATACCAATTCAATATATAAATAGAAATATCAAGATACTAGAATGAAATATTCACAAATATATTTTTTAAAATGTTTCTGTAAAGTCAGCAAGATCGTGTGTTTGATACACATATATATACATAGCTTTTATTAAGTTAATTACATATGTACATATGTATAAAGTAAATTTATGTACAATGCATGGATATAGTATAAATTGTTTTAAATATATATGTATATGATAATACATATATTCTAAACAAAACACTCATAGAAATATTAAAAGTTGAAATTCTTAAATGATTAATTGGCAATTATTTTATGTATAATAAATAATTAAATCTTAGAACATATTTTTTATTAAAAAATCTGTCTTCCTTTTTGTTAAAAATTAATAGTTTTACAAACCTGTTACAAACCAATTTGCTTTCCTTTAAAACTTAATATTTGCATATATTTCAAATATCCATTAGTTGAATTTCTTGATCAGAAAAATTAAAAAATGATTATCTTCATTCCTGAAACATTTTCATTATTTTTATGTATGTTTATAATTGCAAAAATATAATGAATGTAACTTAAAAAAAAATTTGTATACCTTGTATTAATAATTATATTCAAATCTTAACATATAAATTTGTTTAATCCTTTATAATTATTTAAAAATAAAATATTGTTTAATTTTACTTACTTGAATTTTAAAATATACTGCCAAAACACGAGTATAAATATAAATTTTTTTTGCTGTAATATAAAATAAAAACAATGTGTTGATTTTAAATACTTAATATTGTTTATGTGATAACATACTTGTAATGATTATTATTATTATTAATTATATTTAATCATGTATTAAAAAACAGAAACACATCAAAATTTAATGATGTAAAAAAAAATGGATGTAATTGTTATAAAATACATATATTACTTAAAATCATACCAGACCATGGCCGATTTAAGTCATAACTGCAACAAAAAGAATAAATCAAAATTTGAATAATTATATTACCTATATGCAATTCTATAGAAAACAAAACAAAATTCATTTTACAATTTATCAATAATATTTATATTACCTAGACATAGAAATAATTCAATAAGACAAAATTTGTATAAAATTTTATTTTAATTATGATATTTATGTTTTTCCTAAATATATTCATACATATAGGTACTCAACCATAAATAAATTATATTTAAGTATAATATAACATTAACAACAGAAACAGGTATATAAAACAAATAAAGTTCCAATCCTGAAAAATTAAATGAGTTTGATACAAATAAAGTAATATATATTTGTAAAATACACAAAAATGTATTACAAGTAAAAAAAATAGTTTTATTATATCTATGTATATCAATACATGTATAATAATAGATCTACTATTTACCTTTGAATAGAATTTAATATCTTTTTTATTATTGAATAGAATTTAATACCTTTTTATCATTGCAAGTGCATATTGTAGCACATTTTAAAAATATAAATAAATCTTTGTTTGAAAATTTTTTATACATCCAATACTTTATATTCAAATTTTTATGTAATTTATAAATAAAAAAATTAAACAATAAATATGCAAACAATATTTTTTTCCTTTACATACTTATTTAAAATTTACTTATATAAAGACAAATTTTTTTCAATAAGTAAAATGTTATATATGAAGAAACAACAAAAATATAACAAAAGAATTATCAGTCATTTTTGCAAATATATCTTTTCTGATTAACATAATATATATATATAATATGTATAATATAAAAAATATCTTAATTGTAGGTGATAATAAAATTTACAAATTCAATTTTGATAAAATTTAAATGATTTGGAGGTTTTACATATGACTAGTAAAATTTGTTGACAATTATTTACGATAATTAATACATTCATGTGAATAACCATTTGATAAAATTAGTAAATAATATATATGATTTTATAAGTTGTATATAACAAACAATAATTTGATATGCCATCCATTATTCCATTATTCTCCAGTTTAGCGGGTCCTGATTCCTTTGAATATAAACACATAGAATGCTGAATGAAAGATTTAAAATAGTAGTTCCCCTTGATGAAATTTATCGTAGAACATCCCTACAACTGGCAGCTCCAAGAATCTAAAATAGTAGTGGTATTTGACAAGAAAAAGCAAAGGAACCAAGGTAAAATTGTATTTAGTATTGTTATAATAGTGTATATGTGTACGTAGACCATCATATATATATATATATATATATCATATTCTCTTGCATACATAATAGATAAAACAATTCATAAACAATAGAAACGAATTTTAGCTGTCTTTACAGCCATTATACTTATAATTTTCCTAATTCACTAAAGATAAATGTTTCATGAATGAACCAGTGAAACATAAATAATGACATATTGAAATAAGTATCTAAATGTTTTTCTTATGAATACATTGGTAAAGATAATTTTTAGTATTTTTAACGATAAATGGGAAGCATAATATGGGTTTATTGTTGCAGATTCCCCGTTCCTGTTTCTGACCTGCTGCTTCACCTGCCAGTTTGAATTTATGTTACAATCAGGTGTTATGGAACAAAAATACATACAATAGTATAAGTAGAACACAAGTAGACATCATGTTAATATCATATTATAATGTGTTAAATTTCTGGCATTTCACGTTACTTAAAATTAAAACCATGAGTATCCTACAATATGTATATCTATGTATATAAAAAACACAAAATATTATAGTATAAATAGAACATAGTTGGTTCTAGTGGCATTTTTCAAAAGTTTATAGATTTTACGAAGCGATCAACTATTGTAATTTTATTGTAAACAGTATATGAAGTTACAGCAGGCATTAACCGCATCCCGATGGGAAACTATCTGAAAACTATCTGAAATAAACAAATAATTATAATAAAACACATGAAGTATATAAATATAAATATACTTTCAAAGGTGTAAAATATATTATTTTAATATTTAAATAAAACATTAAAATATCATAAATTTATCATTTTTATAAATATTTAATTCCCTGAAAATATCAATAATTATCAGCAGGTATGATATTTCCTTCTTCTTACACCATTGATTTTCAAATATAATAAACAGTAAATATCAAGCCAATATAAATGTAAGTGATGGATACAATAACATATAAATAATTATATATGCAAATAATTATATTATATCAATATCAAATTGTTTGTGTGTATTATAGAACATTCGGAAATATATGTGACCTGAATAAAAAAAATATATTTTGTTTAGTTATAACTTGTTTTATACTTTTAATATTCATATATAAGAAGAAGTATATAATATATATAATATTCATGAAATATGAATTATTGTACTTGCTTTTTTTATAAAATATATATATAATTTAAATGTTTTTTAAACTATTTCGCTTTTCATTTGTTAAGAATTAAAAAATAATAAATTTTTTTCAATTATTAATTCTACAATTTCTTCAAATTAATTTAAAATTAATATTTATATCTAAATTTCATGAATATTTTTCTGGATTTGATAATAAATTAGTAGTTGCAAACACTTTAAATATAATCTTAATAATTATAATTTCATATAACTATATTTCATATACTTTAGATATTTTAAAATATTTAAAAATTGTGTTTCTATTGCACTCAACTTTACATTGACTTAATATAAATGAATATTTAGAAAAAATTGTATGATATAAAAGAATAAAAAAATAAATAATAATAAGAACTCTTAAATCATTGATATTAAAGTAATTTTAAGTAATTTAAAATAATATTAAAAAGTATAGATTTGAAAATAAATTTTATCAGTATTATCACATCACTAAAATAAAATTTCAATATCATACAATTTTCTAATTCATATTTGTTTATTTATGATATGTAAAAATAAATACTTACAGCTAATATTTTTCCTGATGGAAGTTTAACTTTCTGTATTCGTTTGTGAATAAGGATAGTTCTGATAGCCCGTTGGGAAAGACGGATTTTGTTGATTTTGTTGTGGCTGTGTGGTAGATCCAGCTCCTGCTGCATAATAACCCGTAGGAGTTGAACTAGCATTTATTGTTGGATAACTACCATAAGCTTGTGGAAATGTATTAGGAGTCCCACTTGTTGGACCGGATTGACCTTGTATACTTTGTTGTATTTGTTGTTGAGCAATTTGATTGTTTTGTATTCCCAACTAACAAAAATAAAATATATTATTTTAATATTTTTTTACATAATTAATTATCAATTATATCAATTTTTTTTACAAATATTTTTAATCAATATACCTTGCCTGCTTTCATTTGAGCTTCTATAGCTTCTGCTTCTTTTATTTTACCAATACTTCTATAATATTCTGCCCATTGTGCACTATAATCGGCTTGACCGCCATTCTGTGTTGCTCCAGTCTGTTGTTGTTGTTGTGTTTGTTGTTGTTGTTGTTGAGTTGATCCAGCAGTATTAGGTGTTGATGTATTAGATTGATTCTGCGTATTTCCTACACATAAAAATTAATTTATATTTAACTTAAGTAATTTACATTCATACCAATTAAATTAAATTTAATTAATAAAATTAATTAATTTTTATATTTTCACAATAGAAAATTTTTTACCTGATTGTTGATTGTGATCTTGTTTTCCTTGTTTTGCTTGTTGTTCAATCATATCTGCTTCTCTATGCATACCTAGCGATCGATAATATTCTGCCCATTGTGCACTATAATCTGGTTGTCCTGTTTGTGGATTTACTTGAACAGGTGTTTGACTTGCAGTATCTAAACATAATAAAATTAAATATATATATGATATATATTTTAATATATATATATATTTTTAATTATTATATTTATTTATATTTATTAAATATTTATGTTATCTTAAAACATACTTGTATCAGTAGATTGAGGTTGACTTGGCCAGGCTTGATAAGCTGTTCCTGCATTCCATGTTGGATTATAGCCAATTGCTCCTTGTGTACCAGTAAATGAAGTATTAGCTGGAGCCTTTGATTTAATTTACATTAAGAAAAACATTAATAAATAGTTTCTTATATTTTTTTATATTTAAAGATTATGTAAATTTATTATATATTTACCATGCCTAATTTTTCACTAAATATTCTTTTTGCATGTTCTACTTGTTCGGGATTTCCACGAATTATGAAAATTTTCTCATTTTCATTACTTTGATTTCTTCTATCTAATTCACAATGTGCTCCAGTTTGCTGATTTATTGTTTAATGGTTTCACCACCTAAAATAATGTTCAAATGTTTAATAAAAATATTAATCTTATTTATATATTTATGAATCAATATAATTTTACCTTTTCCAATAATGATACCACATTTTGAAGATGGAACAGTGAATGTCGTTTCTATTTTATCTTGCATAGGACCTCCTTGACGTCTATCCCATCCACCATATTCATTTGGATTTCGATTATTGCTAAATCCATTGCCTCTTGGACCACTTCTTGCTCCCATATTACTTCTACCATCATCTCTTCTCTATATAAATATTTAATAATAATATAAAGAAATATAAATAAAATAAAATAATATGATTTTTATAAAATATAATATTACGAAATGATAAAAAAATATATTTACCATTACACTATCAATAAGTTCTTGAATACGTTGACGCACTTGTTCTACAGCTTGATGCTTTCCAGATACTATACATTTTCTATCCCCAGGACCATCTTCTCGTCCTTGTTGAAACTGAACTCTTGCTCCAGTTTCTGCTTGT